GAGATGTTCTAGCCGGAGGTTCTCCAAATGTGCCAAGGTGTTGGAGTTTGTTAAGTGTGTGGCCTGGAGGGTTTTCCGCCTGATCACCCTTCCAATCAATCTGTTTACGCCTATGGATACGCCAGCCGGAGTATTTGCACTGGGGAATATTCGGATAAACAAGGGCTGCTTCAGCTAATGTATTGCGTAAGTGGCGCAGATCGTTAAGTAGTCAGCGGAGAGGAAATTTTATCTAGTTATTAAAGAGCCATACTATACACCTTAAGACAAGAATTTATATAGTAGTGCTTAATCAAATAATAAAACCATATGGTTTAGTGGCAGTATGACAATTAAAAATAATAAATTGGTTAATATTTTTATAACTATTTTAAGTTAAAGGGCATTGGTCTTTACGTTTGATTATCTTTATTCACCAAATGAAAAAAACCATGTCAAATTACATTAATGCCACATGTTAACGCCATCATCAATCCCTACCAGAACTCTTGAAATCTTTAATTTGCACAATAAACTGTCAAATGTTACTCTTAATTCGATTGAATGGTGGAAACAATGTCCGGATTTCAGGTCAACTGGCATTGCTGACAACTGCAGTGGCTGGGAGGAGCTGCGAAATGGGGATTCCCCCCAAACAATTCTGCACCTGTTACTGCAGCAGCAATAAACCAAAGCAGCAACTCAAATATCTCCCATCCTCCACACAGATTTGTGGGTGGTAGTTTCACCCCAGGCCCACCACTTTCCTGTCAGCCTTTTCATTTAATTGCGGTCGACTTTTGGGGCTTTGACTTACACAAGGCGAGAAAATCGAGCAGAGGAGTGGCAATGCTCTCCACTCGGCAGCAAAATGCCAATCATCAATCAAGGTGATTTGTTTCAATGCCCCCCAGCCACACATTTCACGCTGTTGTGCATTTCGGAATGGACAGACACTGATAGCGGTCGAGGGGGGGTGGAGAGGGGGCTTTTGGAGGGGGTTTCGGGCGGTGGTTTCGTAGGGTATGCAGAGGTTTATTCGGCTTGGCACATGTGGCCAATCACTTGCATACACTTCAATTGCTGTGGTCTACTCACTCTCAATCGCTCTTCACACGTTTATACGCAATGCAATTCATGAACTAAAATTGAGATGAGATATGCATATTTATTGTATTTATTGTAACTTACCAACGAAACATACATATGTGTCAATAAGTTGGTACGTTGTCGCCTTTCAGGCAAGTCCTACATTTTTGCTTATGAAAAATTAAAAAAATGTTAAAAACTTGTAGAAATTACCACTGAAATCATTAACACAAGTATAGTTCATAGTTCAGTCTGCCTTTAGGTAACCGAAATTACCAAATTGGGTACGCATAAACGTAGTAACTCTTGCCTGGCAGTTGTTGTTCATCAATGAATTCAATCACGAAAATGCTGCCCCATTTGGCAGAGTCCCTTACTCGTTGTCTACTCACACTCATTCAGAGCAGAACACTCAAACACTCACAGGACTCACACTCCCACAGACAACACTCTTGCCGCACTTACTCATTCGTTGCATATTCATGAGCCAATCGCTGGCCTCCTTGTTTGAGTTACTGACGTGGCTTTGATTTAATTGCCTTGATTTTGTCTATAATTTATTTTAAGCCTTATCCTTGGACCAGAGATCTATCTATTTTTTCCACCACCAGTAAATTCATCTTCGGGTGTGGGTAAATATTTCGTTTTATTCTCACTTGAATAAATCCGCATGTTGGAGTAGACAACTGTGTTTAATTATTTGTTAAGTGGTTTAGATTTTTTCTGGTGTTTAGGGAAATAAATAAGAAGCAGAAGATTTTTAAATAAATTAAATTAATAAATTAAATTTTACACCTTTTAACCTGAACACAGAACCCTGATGAAAGTGAATAAAGCATGAACCTTAAACTTTTCCAGAGAATTCAATAGTTTAACATTCCCTTGCGTAACCTTTGTCTGGATAAAGTTGTAGAAATATTTCATTTTATCCTGGCTCTGCCATAAGATCCTGCTGAACCTTCCCCCTTGGAAAACCACAACAGCACATTTTTGACGCTTTAAAAAGTTGTGAGGCTACCGCTATTTTTATGCGCCGTTCACTTTTGTCGCCATTCCGTGGGCGCCAAGAAAAATAAGAAGAAAAGCACGCTGTCTCCCGGATTTCTCCATACTCCACCCCTTTTATTCCCTTGCTTGCAGTCATGTTTCATACTTTTTTACAGATATTTTTAGCACTTTTTTTTTAAATTCCAAAAGAGGTGTGCGCATAAATTTTTTGGTGCCCTGCAGGCGAATTCTTTATGCAGAATATTTCGCAGTAGCAAAAATGGAAGGTTAAAACGCGTGAAAGACAGGGAGAAATGTGGGAACTAAATTCAGTTTAAGGCCAGACTGATTGTAATTTGATTTGACTTTCCCCTTGCGTCGCGCACCCCGCCGCCCCCCCTTTACCGATTTTGGTTATTTCATTTTCCGAGCGACAACAAATGTCATTTCCTGTCGCCGTGTGATTTGTGACCCGAGAAATCGTAATCGCACTTTATCTATTAGTTACACTTTCTCGCCACGCCCACTCAACTCCCAGTCGACCTTTAATGAAATTTACTCGGGTCGCCCCGTTTTCTATTTACTTTTGTGGCACGAAATTAATAAAGGACCTCGTTGTCCCTCTTCCTTCTTCGGTTTCGATCGGTATAAGGCCAAGTGGAAACTTAATCCCCAAGGAAATTATGTGAAAAATGTGCGTTGGGCTTGGCTTTTGTCCGGCATTTTCCTTTTCCTTGCAGCTTGGTTGGTGATTTTGTATTATTTTTTTTTGATGCTCTAAGTTGTTAAGCGGCGAATAGCTGTAAATATTTTTGTTGGTTGGCTTAAAACATTCAGCGTATGGCCGGAAATATAAACTAAGCAGGGAGTGGGTATATCAACAAAAGCATCCTGACCCCTTTTTCATTTCGTCCTTTTCCTCTTTTTCTCCAGAATTGGAGGTTCATTTTTAAGCTACGCAATTATCATTAAGTGGTGGCCATTTGTGAAGGTCATAGGCGTTTCTTTGGAAAGGATTATAGCAAAAGCAATTTTAAGGTATACAAAATATTGGAATTTTTGAGTAAAATTCAATGAAAATTGTAAGTCAATAGATAAATTCTAATCTTAATGAATTATTAATTAGTATAAAAATTAAAGATTATGGGTACTTAAAAATAAGTATACATATTTCAACTTACAAGTTTTATAATTCAAACAGTAATCATAAATCCAATAATTTTTAAATTAATTTTAAAACATAGCTAAAAAATCTTTTATTTTTAGAAAGTATGGAAAAAAAATCCCTCTGAATATCTTTTAAACAACAAAAGCAGCCCATGCCCTCTTTCAGCAATCCTTTTTCTGAGACCCTCCGGTGGTTTGTGTGCTCCTTTTTTTCCTGGTACGTTTTAGGTTTTTTTCTGGTAATTGTATAAAGGTTGCCGGCAATTTCGTTCAATTTGTATGAGTCCCTTTTTTCATGGCTCTTCGTGCGGATGTTTTACGTAACGGATAATTTGTGCGCCACACTGCGTATAAGTTATGCGATGACTGCATAATGCGGATTACACATGAGTTTCGTGAGAAGGGAGCTGCGTCCGCTTGACGGATAGACTTACTTCATTGAGAGGGACTCTGTCTAATCAGGACAATTGTCTTTGGTCCTTTGTGAAGCGCCTCAGACGGTCCAAAGTGTCAATTACAGTCGTCCACGTAGACGGAATCGAGAAAGGAAAGGTGGAAACTATGGCGATACGATTGGATGGGGGAGTTTACGTTTACCTAATGCTTATGTAATTGTCAGGTCATTGTTTTGGCGCAGACATAACGTTCCAATTAGCCCACAAGCAATTAATTATGTGAACTTAATGCAAGAGTGCAGGAAATGTGATATTTATATAATGTTGTCTCTCTATCATGTTTTTAAATGCGCCATTACTTCGACTTGCCTAATATTTGATTAAAATTATCCAAAATCAATAAACATTAATACTTATAGTTTTGAAATGAATAGAGTATATCAGGTGTAAACTTAAAGAAATATGAGAAAAGTATTTTCTTAATAATTACATTGCAGACAAAATAATTTGTACCTTTCCTTTTGAAATTAATATCAGAGGCAAAGGTCCGTGTAATTGATAATCATTTCAAATTATGTAAAATAAGCATTTAAATCAGCAAACTTGTAATACAAAAATACTGACTTGTTTTTTTCCCTTAGAAAAGCCAGACAAAGAATTAAAACAATTTCAGTCAAGCCCAAAAACATAATTATAGAAATCATAATCGAAATGAAAGTCATCAAGAAAACAACTTGGTCGTTTTCCCATTGTGTGCTATAATTAAATATGCTGGATTAAATCCATGTGCTGGTCACCGAACACATCTAAGTAATCGGCATGCCAGACACTTTCGGGATCTCCAGGACAAGACCCCTTTCACCTGGCAGTCATCACCTGTGCGTACACTCTGTTTTCTGTCTTTATTTCATTTTAATTACATTGCATTTAAATATTACATTGCTCTGGGCCATTTGATGGCTGGCTTCAGGGCTCGGGCAGTCAAATCAGGCGTATGATAAATTGATTGCCAACGCATACAATCTCACATAATGATGTCCTTACTCATGCATGCATTTATGTGTACATGGTTGTGCTGTAAATCTGTGTTTGTCTCGCACTGAGACTGTTCAGCTTCGTCCAGCGTAAGCAAGGCTTTAATAAAATTTTACGCATAAACTGTCTTTAATTAAATTACATTTAATTATTTCGCCAGACAATTTGCTGAGAGCTCGCAACCAGAATCGTTTCCTCTTGACAATTGTGTCTGATTTGATATGGCCAATATGGTATTCTTAATTATTTTTCTGTCCCTTGTTTGTTTGCATCTCCTTTCGCATATCACACAAATTTAAACATTATTAAGCAGTTTATTATTAAAGAATTTTAATTGTTAAGTGAAATTGCCTGCTATCGATTCTAGAAACTCTAAGGCCAAGCATAATCCGAATACAGTTAATCAACAGTGGATGACAACGATTTTCCAAGTGTTGATAATGAGCAATAAAAAGTTAAAGAACATAGAAATGTGCTATTCAAAAATTAAAGAGTTATTAGTTCAACAAGTTTCTGTCTTAATTTATATAAATATATATTAAATCGAACGCTTACATTTTATAGGGTCAGCGTATAAGACCGATTTTGTACTATCATTACTTATGTTATTACGGCATTAGATGGCGACGGATGGGTATTTTCGGAGATAGCTTTCTGGTTAATATATTTTGTTGGCTGCCAATTGGGGTCCAGGTCTTGAATTGAGTTATTGGCAGACAAAACAACTCCATCCTTATAGTTAACCCTCTTGCGGACTCGCTTGGTTTTTTCCATGCCGCGCACGACGTCTTCCTGGTTCTGCTGGTGGCTTTGGGCCAGCAGATTGTTCCAGTAAGCCGGATCCTTGTTCTCAGTATCTGCATCCTCCACTTTCTTAGTGACGTAGGACGCCACCTTGAACGAAGAAAGATACTCTTTGGACCAGGATTCCTTCTCCTCAATGCCACGATTGCTGCGATCTAGCAGCTCGGCCACCGCCTTATCGTCATAGTGGATGGCCTCCTCCATGCCGTTCTCCTTAAAGAGGTCCTCGGTGCCAAAGCGAAGGACATCGTCGAGCTCTTGCTTCGTAAAATTGTCAGTCTTGCCGCCCATTCCCGGGCGCACCACAAGATGAGTGAGCATCATCTTGTGCTTGGCCACCTGCATGATGCGCTCCTCCACCGTATTGCGTGTCACAAAGCGATAGATCATCACCTTTTTGGTCTGACCGATGCGATGGGCTCGGGCCAAAGCCTGAACATCGTTGTGCGGATTCCAATCCGAGTCGTAAATGATGACAGTGTCGGCCGTTGCCAAATTGATACCCAATCCTCCTGCTCGAGTGCTCAAAAGGAAGACAAATAGCTGTGTTCTGGGCGAATTGAATTTATCGATTGCCTCCTGACGCAATGAGCCTCTGATTGTACCGTCAATCCGCTCGTACTGGTACTCTTCTCCTTCGAGAAAGTCCTCAAGAATGTTAAGCATCTTGGTCATCTGCGAAAAGATCAACACGCGATGATTTTGCGCCTTCAGCTGTTTTAGCATCTTGGAGAGTAGCACCAGCTTCCCAGCAGCCTGGGTCAGGGAGTTGATCTCGTAGAGACCACCCATTGAGGTGGTGGCCTCCTCGGAGCCCGAGGGGAAAAGGTAGGGATGATTGCAGCACTTCCTTAGCTCCATCATAATGTTTAGTAGCGAACATGATCCTCCGCCGCTTTTCGAATTCAAAGCCTTGAAGTTCTTGGTCAGGATGCATTTGTAGAATTTCTTCTGCATGGCCGACAGCTCCACGCGCACAATAAACTCCGCCTTGGAGGGCATGTTCTTCACCACATCCGCCTTCAAGCGGCGCAACATGTGCGGTTCTAGCATCTCGTGCATGCGCTTTATCTGCTCCTCCCTGGAAATATCAGTGAACTCGTGCTGAAAGGCCTGCAAATCTTTAAACTTATCTGGGCTCAAGAAGTTGAGTAAGTGGAACAGCTCCTGGAGATTGTTTTGTAGCGGTGTACCGGTAAGCAACAGCTTGTAGTTAATGCTTTGGTACCTGTTCAGGATCCGGAAGAACTGGCTCTTGTCGTTTTTGAGCCGATGGGCTTCGTCCACAACCAGCGCGGTCCACTCAACCTTTTGCAGGTACTGGGCGTCCAAGGTGATCAGTTCGTAGCTGGTCAACAGCACATGAAACTTGCACCGAGTATTGGAGCCCTTTTCGAAGCTCAGCTCGTTTATCCGAATCACCGCTCTGGAGGCCTTGTTGCCCGTATAGGTGAGGCAGTATAAATCTGGAGCCCAGAGCTCCAGCTCCCGCTCCCAGTTGAGGAGTGTGGAGAGGGGCACGGCTATGAGAAAGGGTCCGCGGCAGTGGCGCTCCTTATACAGGGAGTACAGGAATGTCACCGTTTGAATGGTCTTGCCCAGACCCATCTCGTCGGCCAGGATGGTGTTGATTCCCTGGCCCCAGCTGTAGCGCAGCCAGTTGATGCCCTCGATCTGAAACGGATGCAGCTGTAGGCCAGTTTCCTTTAAGAAAGCAGGCTGACCCTCGTACTGCTTCTTCAAGTCCGTAGTGGGCTTATTCTTGACCGTGGATTTGGTTCTAGCTGCTAGAAGATCGTGGTAGAAGTCGATAGCCTTCCTAAGGCTGGGGATGTCAGCGTCTTCCTCCTCCCAGGTGGTATTTTCGTAGGGTAGATCCCGCCACTTCACCAGATATATCACGTTGCCTTCTGGCTCCTTACGATGGTTGATCACGCGCTGGACAATGAGCCAGTCCGGCTTTACGCCGTTCTTATAGAAGCGATCCGACAGCTCCACCGTTTTGTCCTCGAACTCCTCAAAAGTGGGTGGCTCCTCCATGTCGTACTTCCTCTGGAAGGCACGGACCGTCAAGGAATGATGCAGGTGCATCTGCACTTCGGGCAACCAAGTGCATTGCCAGTAGGACAAGTTGTGCCACTTGATGAAGAACTCGCGCACTCTTGGTCCTTTGGATCTCGTTGAAGTGGAGGTTTCTTGGCCAGTCCATCGCCAGGAGATAATCTTCTCCGGTTTTCCAGGCGGCGGACTGCAGCGTGGGCAGTGCCAATCGCCTTTGGGAACCGAGTCCAGTGGAGGATTTAGGCAGGTCCTGTGGTAAACTGAGGGACAGGAGTCACAGCACAGTAGATCGCCACCATCCTTGCAAATCCGGCAGAATTCTTCATCTTGAAAACGGCGCTTTTGGGCCGTCTTTCTCCGGCGTTTCTCCATGAGATCCTTGGTATTATTTTATTTATCTAAATCGGTACTGAAAGCAGATGATATTTTCATAGCAATTACTTCAAAATCAAAAAATCGAGGAGCTATTACGCGGTATTTTATCAAAGCTTTCATTCACAGATCCATTTCACTATGGCGCTGCCACTCATTGCCATTTTTAGTACAGCTTGATAAAAACAATAAAATACCAACCAAGCAAATATGGCACTGCAAAATATACCTACGTATTTGGGGTATTCCGCACTGTTGAATTGCTTTTGGCTTGAGCTTAATTATAGTAGCTCAAAAAGTGCGAACTTTAAAAGAAGCCTAGCGGCTGGTACTAGAATTCTTGTAAAAATAAGTCTTGTTAACTTTAAAATCAATGTTTTCTAAGCAATTAATATTTGAATGGGATTTTTTTGGAGTAATGAATGCCAAACAAATATTTCTAAAAATTCTAAAAATTTAAAATGTCTTTCAAATAACATATTGTGGTAGGCTTAGAAATCACTAGCCAAATCATAAAAATAAGTTGAAATTGTTTGTAAAAGTGTTATCTAATTTTAACTAACGGATATAGTCATCTCATATTGATAAAGCGACAGATTTGAATGCCGAATGGTATAATATTAATCTTGGGTAAAACAAAAACAAGAAATTCACAAAATAAAAGTAAAGTGAAATTAGTTGTTTTCACACGATTGTTCTATGGCAGCTATTGGATGGACGTCCTATCAGATTCCATTTTTTGTATGATATAAAAATGATTGCGAACGTTTAAAACCTTTGCATAGAATGAGCAAGACAGATGGTATATGTTAATATGAACTTGCCTGAATAAATAGTTTATTTGGCTAGCTTGCATTTTTAGTACATACGTAACTCAAATGAATACCCTAACTGTGAAGTTCGCCAGTCTGGCAACTCCATGATCTATTTATTTATTACGTAGTAAAGTCGAGCTTGTGAACATACAAATTTAAGTGTAATATTATAAACTAAACAAAGGATTCAACAAATTTAGTAATGATTTAAAATCAATGTGCTCAATTGATACGTATTAATATTAATAAAGGGAATTTAATGCTTTTGACAATCGTTGGTAAGATCTTTCGCATGTTTATTTCTTAGTTAAGCATTTTTTAGACCATAGGAAGAAGAAGTTGCATATGTAAATGTTTTTATGTGTATATATGTATGTATGTACATATGTACGTCATTATTTCTTTATTGGTAATCCTTAAGTAGATGGAATATTGTTATGTAGTTCATGTTCGAATGATACCATTCTGTACATGGGCTCGCAAAAGAGAACCCCATTTAAATGGCTTTAAGGTTGAAAGTTGAATCAAACTTAAACTGTGATTTAAAGTTCCGATCTGCGAATCGAAGCATGAGTTTATCCCAAAACCAAAAACCAGCCGCAGAGCAACGAACCGGCGACCGCCGAAACATTTCAAAGACAAGCCACCAACAGCAGAAACACCGTCAACAGTCGGCCACACCGACATCACCAATATCACCAACAGGACGAGGACAATGGATTAACTCAAACTCAAACTCAAACCTTGCAGCTGTCTGACCGACCGCACACACACTGACAGAGTGGGTGGCATGTGGGTGGTGGGCGGTGGGTGGCCGTCGAGTGGGTGGACAAAGAAGTGAGGGCCAGTTGATGGCCACATGTCACAGACATTATGGAATCATGAACTTATGTGCACCTGTGCGTGCTGTCGAGGCGGACTGGGTGGCCCTGGACTCCATTTTGGTTATAACAGTGTGGATTTGCGGTCGAGGACAGCGATTTGTGGTCGTTCCAATTGGAGATGGTTGCGTGACTTGGATGGGATTGAACTGAAGGGAACAACTGTTATACGTTTCAAAAACCTTTTCTGAATGATTTTTTTTCAAAAGTCTGCCTTCAATCGCAGTCGGAAAAATAATTAAAAAATATAACTTCATTGACTTTAAACATATTCAGAAAATATAGTTTGATAATTGCTATTTCTTTTTGATTATTTGATAATATATGTTATTATATTTAAATTTAATTTGTGTATATGGAGTTTTTTGTGTTGATAGTGATCTAATGGATATGTCTACTAAGACACCCTTACTCTGATTCTATCGATAGCTTGACTTTAATGCTTACGGTTTATGAGTCGTATACGTAATATACATTTTTTCAAGTCACGTTTCACGCAAGCATCTCTAGACCACCCCCGTGCCATTTCAATCATCAATCAAAGTGTTTTGTTACGACTTTCATACGTCATGTTCATGCCTCGGAGCCACCGCTTTTTGCATCCCATCATCCAGTTAGTCCCGCTCCTTGCAGCGGCGCCCCTATATCTCTGCCCAATCTGGGGAGCCAGTCATGCGGAGGTGTGACTGTGACACAACAGACGACATTTATGGTGTCGTCGAGAGGGATTCCCATTACAGCCAAAACAGACAATCAATCACATGGGCACCGAAATCAATTGTCGCAGCTCCTATTTTCGTTTTCAATTTCATTTAGCTAAATATTTATGAGGCCAAACACTTGGGGCGCTCGATTTGTAATCCTAATGAGGCGTAATTAGAAAACATTCAATTACATTCCATTGGCATCAATCAATGACGCTTTTTATGGCCATTTCGAAGGGGACAACTTTAATTAAACCTAAGTTTCAATTTTTAGCGCCTTATTGGTAATCCTCTAAGACTTTTTGTTTACTTCGCCCATCTCCAGCTACTGTTTGTTGGTCCTGATTGCTGCTTAAACTTTTCTATCGCCCTCGCCCCTCTTGTTTGTGATTAAGCCTTATTGTAAAGAGGTTTTTGTACGCCTTTTGATTTATAGATATTGGATCATACCACTCACCCTGCACCAACAGAAGCTCCTGTTAGCGCTTGTGAAACTGGGATCTTTAAGTGGCAGGAATGAGTGTGGTGATTTTATGGGGAAACTTTTACGAAGAGTAACGCAGCTGGGGGAAAAGTCTATGAGGGGATGCAGAAAATAAAAGGATTAGATGGGCTTGATCATCTTATCTTTTGTTATTGGTTCATTATTTTAAAGATAAACTAATTTAAAATAGGAACGATGAGAAAATATTAAAATATTGTTTACGCTTACTTTAACTAACCTTTATCATTTAGGTATTTAGTAACGGCTGTAAATATTCCGATTCAATTTATTAATCTTGCGACACTACGTCTATTGAGATTCCAAAGTATTATTCCGCTTACATTTGTTTGTATTGTAATTTTAATACAAGAAATAAAACAGATGAAGCTTGTTATTTTTCTCAAGAGCATTAAGAATTCGTCGAAGCTGTCTTCGTCCATTTAACGATTCTCACTTGTGCCTTTGTTGCATACTTTTAGGCGCGCGGCTGAACTTGTTTACAGGCAAACGCTGATGTAAGGACCCTGGATCCTGTACATTGGCCCACTGGCCGGCATCCTTGATGGCCGCACAATTTGCTGGCGCGATTTTGTATCTCTCAGTGCTTGTTTGTCTGTATCAAAGCGACTGTGTTCATTGCACAGAACCAAAATGTTTGGGTCCCAAATATTGCTCTATTCATATACTTTTAAATAATTGAATTTTCTTAATATGTTTTATAATTTTTAATGCTTTTACTTTCGATTACACACTGAATGTATCTCGTTCCCGAGCATAAAATACATTATCATGTTTTGATGGAACCAACACCTACAAAGCTTGAATCAGGCCAAAGGCAACATTTTTTTTGCTGATTAACACAAGTCATTAATATAAAATCTCTATTGAATTCTTTTTCTCTCTGTATAGTTGTGTGTGAGGGCTGCTGGCCAGCAAAAAGTTTGCGCACTGATTGCAAACTTGTTTCAATTGTTTCGTAAACCAAACCCAACCGAAGGGAAGAACCCAGAAGACTCCCAGTGGACGGAAGAGGAGTTGGGCGGATTGCGGGCTGGCTTTTCCGCCATGAAAGTCAAGGCGAAAGCTTCGAGCTCTGAGGCCAAGGCAATCCGCCTGCATATTTGTGTGGCTTAGTTTCCGTTTCACAAACGAAACGAAATGAAACGAACGGCATAAAAACCCATTGAAAATTTGCATACGAAAATGAAATTCAAATAGGTTTCCCATGTCCCTCGCAATCAGTTCCGGCTAGTCCAATCACAAAAAAAAAAATAGTGAGTGAACGAAACTTTCGCTTTTCCTCTGCCGTTTAAGCTCTATATTTATGATTCACAATAATGCAAACGGATATTTCATCTTTGAGGCTTATCCCCTCTGCCAGATAGTGATTTTAATCTAAATCGTTTGGATGACTTTGTTTATCGAGGCTTTCTCTGGTCGCTTTTACCTCGGATTGTGATTCGAACACTAAGTGATTTTTCATTGACTTTGTAATGCAAATTGCTTGTCTATCTATCTATCTTCGCCCTCAGTATTTCTGTTCCTTTGTCGCCGTCTCTGTTTGCCACTGGCTGGTTTTTTTTGGGCCTTTTTTCACTGGAGGCCTGGGTTACAGGCCCTTCAACGATTCGAAAGCCAATAAAATGCAAATTTTTTCATCGCGTAAACAAATCCAGCCAAAGATTCTTAGAGATGGGAGGTGAGAAGAAAGTTAGTGATTTGAGCAAGCTTTTTGTAAAAATGTTTTCCAATAAAAACTAGTTTCCCTTTGAGTTAAAGTTTCGTTTCAATGGAATTAATATTGTTATAATATTTTTGTATTTTATACTTTTTTGTATAATAAGTTTACTGACATAAAAGCCCAATTATTTTATTCCTTGTTATAATAATTGTTAATAAATAATATTAGGTAAATGAAACTATAAATGGGGACTCGGTCTAAAATTAAACTATGTTTCTTAATTGTTATTATATTGATAATAAATGACTTCTATTTATAAAATGTTTTTATAAATGTTTAGAAATGTCACCATATCTAACCTGACTTTAAGCCTTATAAAATTGTTAGGCCGCCTAAAAATTCACGAACTCATCTCCAAATAGCACCGAAAACTCAGAACCCAAACTCATTTCCATCAGCATCAGACTTGACTTGAGCTGGGGCACTCGACTCACATCCATTGATTTAATTGTAAGCTGTTGAATTTTGATGGCTTTTAATTGTCTTAAGACCGGTTCAG